CCCTTCTCTCCTCCTCCCACTCCCCTGTTGCTAACCCTCCATGTGATCTCCATTTCTGTGGTTCTGTTCCTGTTCTAGTTGTTTGCTTAGTTGGTTTTTGTTTTGCTTTAGGTGTGGTTGTTAATAATTGTGAGTTTGCTGTCCTTTTACTATACATGTTTTTTATCTTCTTTTCTTAGATAAGTCCCTTTAACATTTCATAAAATAAGGGCTTGGTAATGATGAACTCCTTTCACTTGACCTTATCTGAGAAGCACTTTGTCTGCCCTTCCATTCTAAATGATAGCTTTGCTGGACAGAGCAATCTGGGATGTAGGTCCTTGTCTTTCATGAGTTGGAATACTTCTTCCCAGCCCCTTCTTGCCTGTAAGGTCTCTTCTGAGAAATCAGCTGACAGTCTGATGGGAACTCCTTTGTAGGTTACTGTCCCCTTATCTCTTGCTGCTCCTAGGATTCTCTCCTTCATTTTTACCTTGGCTAATGTAATTATGATGTGCCTTGGTGTGTTTCTTCTTGGGTCCAACTTCTTTGGAGCTCTCTGAGCTTCCTGGATTTCCTGGACATCTATTTCCTTTGCCAGAATGGGGAAGTTCTCCTTTATTATTTGTTCAAATACGTGTTCAATCTGTTGCTTTTCCTCTTCCCCTTCTGGTACCCTTATAATTTGGATGTTGGAACATTTCAAGATGTCCTGGAGGTTCCTAAGCTTCTCCTCGTGATTTTGAATTCTTATTTCTTCATTCTTTCCTACTTGGATTTTTTTTTCTTCCTTCTGGTCCACTATTGTTTTGAGTCCCAGTTTCCTTCCCTTTACTATTGGTTCTCTGTGCATCTTCCTTCATCTCTTTTATGGTAACCTGCATTTTTTCATGTAATTTGCACCCAAAATCAACCAATTCTGTGAGCTTCCTGATCACCAGTGTTTTGAACTGTGCATCTGATAGATTGGCTATCTCTTGGTCACTCAAAAAGATGAGTGATCCTGGGGGATTGAGCTGTTCTTCTGTTGGAGATATGTCTCTCTCTCTCTCTTTTGTTTTTTCTTGGTCTGGTCACTCCTATTACAGTGAGGGACGGAGCCTTAGGTGTTCACCAGGGCTGGGCACTCCAGTCGCTAGATTGTGACGTTGTATGTGGGGGCGGGGGGGAACAATGGCAGTAGTTCCCCTCTCCTGGGGCGTCAGTAACCCCCCTGGGATCCTGGGTTGCGCGCTCTGCCCTGGTCCACAATGCTGCCTCACTGGGTCTGCCAGCCACAGCTTACGTACTCAGGGTCTACCGCTGCACTGCAATCTTGGGAGTCCTGGAAGGCTTACACGCTCGGTGGCTTTAGGCGCGCAGTTCTCCCCGATCTCCGCGCGCTGAGACCCACCGCTCTTCCTCTCTGCCTCTCCTACTGGTCTGGATGAACAGGTCTACTTCAACTTCTTGACTGTCCGACTTCCATTCAGATAAACTCTATCAGTTCTGGGTGTTATTCTGCCTCTAAATTGTTGTTGTTCTAATCTTGGTTGTGCGTGGAGGTACAGTGCGTCCACCTATGCCTCCATCTTGCCGGAAGTCCCCTGTATTTCTTTTAACAACTTTACTGAACTATGATTCATATACCACAAAATTCAACCTCTTAAAGTGAACAATTCAGTGATTTTGTATATTCAGAATTGTGCAACTATTACCACTACCTAATTCCAGAACATCCGCATTACTCCACAAAGAAACTTTATACTTATTAGTAGTCACTCCTCATCGTTCTCTCCCCCCAGCCTCTGGCAACCATTAATCTACTTTATATCTCTACGTATTTGCCTACTCCAGACATATCAAATCAATAGAGTTATACAATGTGCAGCCTGTTAGTGCCTGGCTTCTTCCATTTAACATATTTTCAAGGTTCATCCACATTGAAACATACATCAGTATTCCACTTTTTTTTTTTAACAATGCTTGACACATACTAAGCACTCAATACATGCTCATTATTGTTAACATTACTGTCACCATTTTCAGAACCCAGTTCCCCAGGACCATCTTTTTTAATTTTTTAAAAGATTTTGTTTATTTTTAGAGAGAGGAGAAAGAAGGAAGAAAGAGGGAGAGAAACATTGATGTGCAAGAGATACATCTATCGGTTGCTTCACGCACACCCCCAGTTGGGGACCTGGACTGCAACCCAGGCATGTGCCCTGACCAGGAATTGAACCAATAACCTTTCAGTTCACAGGCCAGCACTCAGTCCACTGAGCCACACCAGCCAGGGCTCCATTTCTTTTTGTGGCACAATATTCCATTGTATAGGTATACCAAATTTTATTTATCTGTTCATCAGTTTGTAAACATTTAGGTTATTTCTAATTTTGGGCTATTATGAATAATGATGGTATGAACATTTGTGTACATTTTTTCTTTTTTGTGTACAAGTTTGTGTGTCTTTACTTGTTTCCAATAAGCTAAGTTTAATTCATCTAGAATATGTTGTGATATAGGAATCTACTTCTTTCCTTCCAAAACAGTAGCTACCAGTAATCTCAGTACATAAACCCAGATTATCATATCCTCCTTCAAGTCTTTTAAAATTGTCTAGAATGCACAAAACTCCATATTAATTTTTTCCAGCAATTCACAACTGTCATTGAAAAGCATCCAACTTGGTTTTGAAGGTAGTGACTTTCTTTTTACACTCATATTTCATTGGTTTATGCAATAGTTAATAAAATTATGAAACACAGTAAGTAAACTGAAATAAGTACAATTGGCTCTTGATAAATATATAAATCCACTGCAATGACCATAACATGCAGTTATATTAGGGAAGAGCCAGCATTCCACATACTATGGAACTCAATATTGAATCTGTCTCTTTCATTGTGTTGGTTATTCTCAGATATTTAGATAGATTCTGGGTTCATCTCTACTTGGGTAACTTGATGACAGAGGGAGGGCTATTATGGGCAGTAGCCGTTGTTCTGCCTTGAACAATTTTCAATGGCAGTGCAGATGCTAAAACTCCAAAAACTGTTCTTCTGGGAATGGCTATTTCTCATTCTTGCCAGGAGTTACAAGTAATAGAGCAGTGAGAAGGGGAAATGTCCTGTCTCCCCATCAATCTCCTGTTCTTAGAATTCCAATGCTGTATATCAATTATGTATCTCAGTAAAACAGGGGGGAAAGAATTTCAGCTTGAGAGCAGATATCCTCCTTGCTGATATGTGGCACACGCAGGAAGAGATGCTTTTGTTGAAATTCCCCAAGTACTTGGTCTTTCATCACAGGTCTCCCCTTTCTTCTCCACCTCCACTACCTCCAGAAATGGGAATCATTCAGTGTTGTATCATTTTCCTGCACTAATCCTCCTTCTGTCACTGAGGCTACCCTGTGGACTTTCCCTCTACTTTCTACCTTTTAGAAGTTTCTCAGTTTCTAATTCACCAAAACTCCCCTCCTGGTTTTTGAGTATGGAGATACATATGTGTCTTTAATATACTTTATGCATTACATTACACATTACTAAATGTTAATTCTATAAAAATTCCTACTCCTCATGCCATGCTACTGTTTTACTTTATGCTATATTCAATTTATCAATTGTTTTTCAAGTGCTACATCTATACGTGTAAGTTAAATGGTATTCGTGGGTAAATTCTAACTATTTGAGGTATATGTATCATAGTTCTTCTACTAACCTCATAGTAGGGAAATTTATCTTTCTTCTAGGACAGTATAAACAACAGAAAAAGGTTTTTAAAATTTGATAGGACTCTGTAGTTTGTATTTTGTTGGGGGGTGCTTTTTATACACATTTAATGGTTGGGCAAACGAAGTGTTCAGAATTGTTTAAACCAATAAGAAGGAACTCTCCTAACTCCCCAGAAAAAAGCTTTCATAACAATTTGATATATCTGTCCAGGTATGTCCTAAACAATATATATGTGGACGCATATATACATATAACTCATCCTATATATATGCATATGTATCATTAACAAAATGACATCATTCTGTTTTACAACTTGCTTTTTTCACTTTATATAGACAGTTTTCAATATCAAAATGTAGATCAAATTTATTCCTTAACAGCTTCATAGTATACTATTGCTTGGATGTGCCATAATTTATACTTCCACAGAAACATTTATTTTGGTTGTTGTAAGGAATGTCTCTGTACAAATATATTTGTACTCTTATATCTTGGATAAATTTTAAGAAGGAGAATTAGTCAAAGATTGATGTTACCATATTGTCTTCTAGAAATGTTTATGCCAACTTACTTTATGGGGTGGATTTAGACAACCGGACTTTTAAATGTGATGTAGTAATTTGAAGTCGTCAAGTAAAGACAAATAAATTTTACAATGTAAGAACTGAAATTTTCTGTTAAGCAAAAATATACACAAAGTCAGGTACTGAGCTTTTACCTTTTGGGAGAAAAAAAAACTTAAACTCATAACATTTATAATTAAAACTGAATGTAACATCTTTAACCCAATAGAAAAATAGGCCAAGGAAAATTATATACAAATAAAAAATGGCCAACGAACATAGAATTAATGTTCAAACTTTAAACTTAAATTCTCAAATTAAAACAAACAAACAAAAAAAACCCTCAGGATTTGTAAGACTGGCAAAGTTTACCAAGTGTAAACTGATTCAACTTCCTGGAGGACAATTTAACAATTCTCTTAAAATTTTAAGTGTAATTATTCCTCCTCCACTAATTCTACCAGTAGGAATTTAACTTACAGAAACAACTGCCTAAGTATAAAGAATTAGTTTCAGTGCACCGTTGTTAATAAACAAAAACAACTGGAGGTGACATAAGTCTATTAACCAGGAACTAAATAAACTATGGGACATCTATATCATACAGTAATATAAAAGATTTCAGGAAAAATGTCTAATTGCTTAAAGGGAAACCTATGTATAAAAGAGAAAAAACACCCTCCTAGAAAGGAAATGTGAAGTGAGGGCTGGAGATTGGGGGAGAATAAAGGAAGAGTGCATACCAGAAAGGCAGATGGACAGCTGTTCATCATCCACTGGAGATGTTTTCTGAGTGGTCTTCCCACTTCCCACTTGACTTTCTAGTTTGAGTCTGCTACATGTCAAAGGAGCCTCCAGTGGACTTTTACAATAAGGGTGGTCCAGCAACTTAGAACTAAGAATGTTCTGCTTGAGGGATCCATCCTCATCCATTTGGCATGAGCTCTCTTTCTGAACAGGCTCTTCGGACACAGGCCCATCTATACTACTTACAGATTGATCTACCCCAGACAATGACAATTTTACCCTGTCATCTTTGAGAGTACTTGTCCGATTTTCTTGATCCAGAGTCATAGCTTCTCTGTTGGATTCTGAGATAAACACATTACTAGAATGATGGTCTGGTAAGGAGATGTCATGAATCAGCTCTGGAAACTCCCACTTAGGAGAGGAACAGGGTGACTGGTCCCAGGTGTAAGTGGCACTGCCATTTTGTTGGTCAGGAAACGCTTCACCTAAACTAAGCTCCTTGCCCAAAAAAGGGCTTCCTTTAGTGCAGCCATCAGGCATATGAGAGTTCTTTCCCTTCACCACAGCATTGCTGTCCATACCTGGGAAACACGGTTGATGCTGACAAGAAGGGTCTTTAAGTTCTGGGGAAGAGAACGGGTTGCAACTGCCACCCTCACCGTTCTCCCTAAGGGTCTCTTGATGGTCCCCAGGGACCTGCATCCAGCTTTGCTGGGCTTTTTTTAGCTTGCAGATTTTGCTTTTTGTTCTGAAGTGCTGGGATCTGAGAATCCTGTACCGAAACCTAATCATGGGTAATTTCTCATACATCATAAATGGAGATACTTTTACTCTTCTTTGTTGGTTAAGTTGGAACTTTTTTGCAGTCAGGGGTCCCCCATTCCTGTGGTGCTCCAGCCCTTGGTAGTAGCCATAACAAAAGCGCTTTCTCTTATGCTTGCTCAAAGTGACCACAACGGTACCACTCTCAATTGAACTTTGACTCTCTCCATTAAACGTCATGGGAAAGTCAGAAGCTTGCAGCTCTGTCCTAGGTCTGTGACCAATGGCCTGACCTAAAACATTATTTGCTGACAAGTCAGCAACTGCCTTCAAGAGACTTTTTTCTCCATGGTATTCATGGTCAGAGTTCTTTGTTGATGACAGCAGCTTCTCTGCTTGGAGTTTCAGGAGTGTCCTCGAGGAGGAAACAAAGTGTTTAGTGCCTTTTCTTTTCACCTTAGATGAAAAAGTATTAACATTTTCAGCAGCCACATTCAATTTTGCCTTAGCAAAAAAGGGTTCATCTTGGATCCACGTTTTCTGGATTTGAAGGGCCTTCTTTCTGCACTGGAAATGCCTCAACTGCCTGCTCCAAGTAATTAGCCTTCCCAACTTCGCTTTCAGAATGCACCAGTGCTGGTGAAAGTAGAACTTCTTGAAGCCTCCAAACCCAGTGTTCCACTTCTCAGAAAAGGCTAAGTGGATTCCTTTCCTCCATAGAATTTTCCTCTGTTTTTTCATTTTTCTGATACATAATGAGATCTGGATGTAGCTATAAAGAAGAGAAAGAAAAGTTACATTTCTATCCTAAAAATGAGGTCATAAAGACATATTCACAGAAACGTAAGTTGGAAAATTGAAAAAAAAAAAAAAAAGAGCACAGGAAGTTCAACTTAAGACAATTAGAAATAATGAAATCCTGATATTCAAGGTATTCCCCACAATGAAAGTTGAGGGGGGAAGACGTGAGTACTCTAGCATGACCCTGTTTGCTGTACCTGCTTATGATAAGTTTCAAGAATCATTTCCCAATATTCAGTTTCTGATGGAATAGACAAGGGCAGGGAGTCAGGATAGGATTTCTGAGTACTGGCCCTGTTTCTCATCTGTTAAGTGACTTTATACAGAGTCACCCAAATTCTGCGTTCTCATTGATAAAATAAAGCATGGGAGGGGTGAGGGGACCAGATACCAATTAAGACTAATTCCAGCCCTGGCTGGTGTGGCTCAGAGCACCAGCCTGAAAACTGAATGATGGCTGGTTTGATTCCCCATCAGGGCACATGCCTGAGTTGCAGGCCAGATCCCTAGTTATGGGCATGCAAGAAGCAACCGATCTATGTTTCTCTCCTTCTTTCTCCCAAACATAAATAAATAATTTAAAAAAATCAGAAAGACTGATTCCATTTGTTCCACTGTCCCACAAAGTGAAAGGTCACCGCTTCAATTCCCAGTAAGGGTACATGCCTAGGTTGCAGATTTGGTCTCCAGTTGGGGCACATGTGAGAGGTGACTGATTGATATTTCTCTCTCAAATCATTTCTCTCCCTCTCTTTCTCCCTCCCTTCCCCTCTCTCTAAAAAATAACTATGTATTTTTTAAAAAGGGCAGGTACTTTTGCCTTCCATATAATCATCTACAGACAGATACTCAATAAATGCATGCCATATCACTAATCTCAAAAATACCAGGCTCTGGACTTCCGGCGAGACGGAGGAATAGGTGGACGCACCGTACCTCCTCGCACAACCAAGATTAGAACAATAGTTTACAGACAGAATAACACTCAGAACTGACAGAGGATTTATCTGAATGGAAGTTGGACAGCCAAGAAGATGAAGTAGACCCGTACATCCAGACTGGTAGGAGACGATGAGCTGGGTGGGCGCGGGGCTGGCTTGGGTCAGTGGCGCGAGGAGGTCGGGGAAAATTTGGCATGAAATCAGCGCGACAGCCATCTGGGGCACAAGAACGCAGCGGTGATCCCTGAGTACGCAAGCTGTGCCTGGCCAACTCAGTGAGGCAGCGATTGTGGACCAGGGCAGAGCTCACAGCCCAGGATCCCAGAGAAGGGTCTGGGCCCAGGAAAACAGAACTACCGCCATTGTTCCCTCCCGCCCCCACTCCCGTCCCCGTCCCCACATATAACATCACAATCTAGCGACTGGGGTGCCCATCCCCAGTGAACACCTAAGGCTCCGCCCCCACTGTAACAGGAGTGACCAAACCAAAAAAAAAAAAGGAGAGACAGGGAAAGACATAAGACATGCTTCCAACAGAACAGATCAGTCCCCCAGGACTCATCCTTTTGAGCGACCAAGAAATAGCCAATCTATCAGATGCACAGTTCAAAACACTGGTGATTAGAAAGCTCACGGAATTGATTGATTTTGGGTGCAATTTAGATGAAAGGATGCAGGTTACCATAAAAGAGATGCAGGAAGATACTCGGAGGAGAGCCAATAGTGAAAGGAAGGAATCTGAGTCTCAAAACAATACAGTGGACCAGAAGGAAGATAGAATCAACCAAGCAGGAAAGCATGATGAAATAAGAATTCAAAAAATCGAGGAAAAGCTTAAGAGCATCCAGGACACCTTTAAACGTTCCAACATCCAAACTATAGGGGTACCAGAGTGGGAAGGAGAAAAGCAACAAATTGAGCACGTATTTGAACAAATAATAAAGGAGAACTTCCCCAATCTGGCAAAGGGAACAGTCTTCCAAGAAATCCAAGAAGCTCAGAGAACCCCAAAGAAGTTGGACCCAAGAAGAAACACACCAAGGAACATCATAATTACATTAGCCAAGGTAAAAACGAAGGAGAGAATCCTAGAAGCAGCAAGAGATAAGGGGACAGTAACCTACAAAGGAGTTCCCATCAGACTGTCAGCTGATTTCTCAGAAGAGACCTTACAGGCAAGAAGGGGCTGGAAAGAAGTATTCCGAGTCATGAAAGACAAGGACCTACATCCCAGATTGCTCTATCCAGCAAAGCTTTCATTTAGAATGGAAGGGCAGATAATGTGCTTTTCAGATAAGGTCAAGTTAAAGGAGTTCATCATCACCAAGCCCTTATTTTATGAAATGCTAAAGGGACTTATCTAAGAAAAGAAGATAAAGAAAAGACATGTATAGTAAAAGGACAGCAAACTCACAATTATTAACAACCACACCTAAAGCAAAACCAAAAGAAACTAAGTAAACAACTAGAACAGGAACAGAACCACAGAAATGGAGGGCACATGGAGGGCTAGCAGCAGGGGGGGTGGGAGGAGGAGAGAGGGGGAAAAGGTATAGAGAATAAGTAGCATAGAATGTAGGTTGAAAATAGATAGGGGAGGGCAAGAATAGTACGGGAAATGTAGAAGCTAAAGAACTCATAAGTATGACACATGGACATGAACTAAAGTGGGGAACGTGGGTGGGAGAGGGGGTACAGGGTGGAGGGGAGAGAAGGGGGGAAATGGGACAACTGTAATAGCATAATCAATAAAATATATTAAAAAAAAAATACCAGCCTCCTGTTTGTCAACCAATTATTGACTATGTGAGGACAAGACTCTATCAGGTGTTCTTCCCCAGTTATGTTCTCAAGTAAATATAATTTTAAAAAGCCAATGCAGCATGCATGTGTGTCTGTGTGTATGAACTTTAGGAACACACCTATGGGAAATGGTAGATAAAAACCACAGTCAAAAGCAAATATGACTCCCCTATGATTTAATAAGATCTCGTATTACTGAAGGCTCTCTAGCTAAAAAGAAAGGCACCAGCCACTGCAGGTGGAGTAGAAGAAATACTAGACTATGAATCAGAGAACCAATATTCTAATTTCAGCTTACTAATAACTTACTAAGAAGCTGTAATGCCGTTCTGTGCATTAGTTTTCTCTGGGAAAAAACGGGTGGGGATTGACACATTTTTATCTCAGTTCCCTCTCTAAATCCCATTAAGATGACAAAATGGAGGGTATTTTAAGATTTTATTTATTTATTTTTAGAGAGGGGGAGGGAGGGAGAAAGAGAGAGAGAGAAACATCAATGTGTGGTTGCCTCTCACACGCCCCCCACTGGGGACCTGGCCCACAACCCAGGCGTGTGCCCTGACTGGGAATCGAACCTACAATGCTTTGGTTCGCAGCCCGCGGTCAATCCACTGAGCTATGCCAGCCAGGGCAAAATGGAGTTTTTAAAAAGGCAAACATACTCAACAACAAAGAAAATAAAAGTTTAAAGAAGAAAAGTAGGTGAATGAGAATTAACAGAGTTAGTAAGCCAAAAGAGCAGAAACTAAGCCAGTAGTAGGAGAAACCAAAAAACAAGCTACAGGACCTCAGAAAGGCTTAAAAATTGGAAGTAATAATATCTATGAAGGTCAAAGCATGAGAGGAACAGAAAAAGGAAGGACTGATTCAAAGTCTGAATAAAAACAGACCCTAATATCCCTTCCCCTACCCTAGCAGGTAACCAAAGTTTCACTTCTGGGGAGGACGACCCAGGACATTTAAGCACACCATGCATATCAAAGGGCAGGGGTACAATAGGAGAATATTAAATAAGTTTACATAGTGAATTCCTTCCCTAACTTCTTTTGCTACTTGGTTCCCAGAAAGATTTACACCCAAAGGGTATAATCCTTCTTCCCAGGGGAGAAAATATCATTCAAAGAGAAAATATCAACAGATACTGATATTTTGGGATGCCTCAGCTAAACAGGCCTGAACGATCACTCTAGCAGGGGTGTCCAACCCACAGCCTGCAGGTTGCACATAGCCCAGGATGGCTATGAATGCAGCCCAACACAAAATTGTAAATTTACTTAAAATCTTCTTTTTGCTCATCAGTTTTCATTAGTGTTCGCTGGTGTATTTACTGTGTGGCCCAAGACAACTCTTCTTCCAGTGTGGCCCAGAGACACTGAAAGGTTGGACAACCCTGCACAATGTAGTCCAAAGTTTAAGAAGCAGTGACTGCTGGGGGAAGAGGGGTATAAGGGGCCTAAACTATAATGGAAAAAATAAGATAAAGATTAAGTTAAAAAAACAAAAGAAGCAGCCCTGGCTGGTGTAGCTAACTGGATTGAGAGCAGGCCTGTGAACCAAAGGGACGCAGGTTGGATTCCCAGTCAGGGCACATGTCTGGGTTGCAGGCCACATTCCTGGTTGGGGGCATGAGAGAGGCAACAGATCAATGTTTCTCTCACACATGGATGTTTCTCTCCCTCTCTTTCTCCCTCACTTATCCTCTCTCTAAAAATAAATTTTAAAAAATCTTTTAAAAAAAAGCAATGAGACCCCAAACTCCTCCTCAACTCCATACAGCAGGTAACTGCCCTACCCCTACTTAACATTAGTTTATCCTTCAGAAAGGGTAAAATAGAAGCTATGAAGATGGGAATCCCAGGCATAATTTGAAGATAGAATTATATGTTAAATACATACAAGACCCCCACACACACTTTCCCACTTGTCTCCCAGACCCTGGGTAATCTGTCTCATCCACTCAAGCAGAAGACTGGAAGATTCTTCTCTAGAGAATCTGGTTGGTCCACAAGAAAATCTATTTACACAGACATTCCCCCCACAAAATGGTGCAGTATAGCCCATAGTTCATTCCAAATTTAAGAAGTCTCATCACATGCTCAGAATTTCCAAGCAACTTCTTAGTAGTCTTTCTTTAAAATGACAGAATAACCAAGAATCACCAGACTTCTAGTGAACCAAAAGTAGACCAAAGAGATAAAAGCAAAAACTTATATGGAGAACTCAACTC